ATATCTGTTTTAGTTGCTATGGAGACTGACATTTGCCTATTTTGTTATAGTTACTATGGATACTAATGTCTGTATATTTTGTTACAGTTGCCATGGATATTGATGTTGGCATATATTGTTACAGTTGCTATGGATATTGACGTCTGTTTTTTTAATTTTTAAGTTGCTACATGGATACTGACGTCTGTGTATTTATGTTATAGTTGCTATAGATACTGATGTCTGTTTTTTTTTTTATTTTACAGTTGCTATGGATACTGACATCTGTTTGTTTATGTTACAGTTGCTATGGATACTGATGTCTGTTTATTTATGTTACAGTTGCTATGGATACTGATGTCAGCCACGTTTCTGGGTCTCTTGATGCAGAGGCTGTCGGCCGGCCTGGGGGTGGTGACAGGAATGCACCTGGCTGAGGTCTGCTACGGAAGCTATCCCAGGATTCCACGCTTTGTGCTGTGGTTCATGGTGGAAATAGCCATTATTGGTAAGGTGCTGTTAAGACTTTTATGGTGGCGGGGCGTGGTTTGTCAGAGACAACCAATCAAATTCATCATTATTGAGATACATTATCATACAGGATTCAAGGACAGATCAAAGGACAGTTTCTTCAAGGTCGTTTTGGTAATGCCTGAAATACTTGTCATATATTACGTTATCAAAAAAGTGTCTAGTAAGTGAGTTGCAGTCAACTGAGGTTTTTCCAACAGACTTGAAATTGGAAGGAAATGGGAGTCTTTATTGTTCCTAGACAGTAGTTGTTAAGTCAGGCCAAGCTTAAAAAATTCTTTGTTTGCAGTTGGGTAGGTAGGTAGGCAATTTTTTTTTTGAAAAAAAATTGTTTCCAGATTTTTGTTAGGTAACATAAAATACAGTTTTTCATAGGCTTACTATATATGAATAAGCTGCACACTGGTATAAACTAATGATTGATGAAGACAAAAATTGAAAATGAAACAGTTTTAATATCCTGAAAAATTGGGAGAATAAAATATTACAAAATGGCTAAAAAAAAGTTTGGGTCGGATGCATTTTCAGTGAGTCTGTCAGCAACTGCAAACAAACAAAGACTTAGCATAAAGCCCCATGCCCACTAGCTGACATTTATTGTGGTGTATACCTTTAGTTTGTGTGTCCGTCATTACATAAGCCCATTTGTCATTCATTGCTTGTGAGTTTGATGTTATTCATCTTCAGAAGTGAAAAGTACATGATGAATGCACATGAAGATTGGAAATCTTTAGAGTGATTTAAATATAAGAAATGTCATAAGAAATTATTTAGTTTATTTAATACGCAGAAGCAGAGAAGATGATTTTCAAAGAATAAATGCATATTAACTATATAATCTATAGAGCCACGCCCTAACACCAGAACCCCTGACCCTGGGGCCATAAAATTCACAAATCTGGAAGAGTCACTCTTGCTTATCATTACTATATGTTTAATTAGTTTATTTAATACCCAGAAGCAGAGAAGATTTTCAAGGAATAAATGCATTTTCACTATATAATCTATAGAGCCCCGCCCTAACACCAGAACCCCTGACCCTGGGGCCATAAAATACACAAATCTGGAAGAAGCACTCTTGCTCATCATAACTATGTGCTTAGTTAGTTAATTTAATACCAGGAGCAGAGAAGAAGATTTTCAAAGATATAATGCATTTCCATTATATAATCTATAGAGCCCAGCCCTAACACCAGAACCCCTGACCCTGGGGCCATAAAATTCACAAATCTGGAAGAGGCACTCTTGCTCATCATAACTATGTGCTTAGTTAGTTTTTTTAATAGCCAGGAGCAGAGAAGAAGATTTTCAAGGAATAAATGCCTTTTCACAATATAATCTATAGAGCCCCGCTCTAACACTAGAACCCCTGACCCTGGGGCCATAAAATTCACAAATCTGGAAGAGGCATTCTTGCGCATCATAACTATGTGCTTAGTTAGTTAATTTAATACCCAGGAGCAGAGAAAAAGATTTTCAAATAAATAATGCATTTTCACTATATAATCTATAGAGCCCCACCCTAGCACTAGAACCCCTGACCCTGGGGCCATGAATTTCACAATTTTGGTAGAGGACTCAATGCTCATTACATTCATGCCATCATGCCAACAGTTTGCCTGCTTGATGTCCAGGAGTAAAGAAGAAGATTTTTAAAGATTGCAATAATTTTAGTGGTTTTGGCCCCACCCCTAAGGCCCCGGGGGGGGGGGGGGGGGGTGGGGACCATGAAATTCACAATTTTTGTTCCCCCCACCCATAGATGCTGTATACCAAATTTGGTTGAAATTGGTTCAGTGGTTTCAGAGAAGAAGCTGAAAATGTTCAAATGTTAACATACGGCGCACGACGCACGACGGACGACGACGGACGAAAACGGATAGCAATAGGTCACCTGAGTTACTCAGGTGACCTAATAATGGACTAACAATTTGTATGAAAAACATCGTTCAGCATATGACTCAATGATAAATTGTATTTGCTGACAAGGTCATTGTATCGACCATAGATTTTATGAAATGATGACTTTAAACGAGACTGTTGATATTCTTGTTTCATCAACTTGCTTGTCAATAATTTACCTCGTTTAAGAAATTGTTCATACGTAGAGCACGCTCTTGCGTATCGAATCAACTGAGATATATATACTCCGTATGCAGGTGAGGAAGGTATGTTGCTGCATAAGTAAGGGAAGTTGACGATAGAGGTGAGGTGTGTTGTATTTGTATTGTTTCATCATGTATATTATTAGTAACATTAAGTTTCTTGAACATTCCAGAGTGGTCAACATGTTCGGTCATTTTTTTTCTAGAACACTCTTGAACTTCTTGAACATTCTTAACTCTTGTGTATATCCAAAACTTTCAAGTAATATCATGTACTTACAACTTCTAGAATTTTCTAGATTTATAGTACTGTATAAATACCCTGTCAATTAGCTGCATAAACAATAACTTGTCGTATAAGTAACATTGAATTGCAGGTGTATAAAGAGACTAGGATATAATTACACTGGACATTGTGTGCAGCAACGGACACTCTGATGTATGTATTTTTAGATTCTTGCTAAGTTTGTACTTTATGATTTGTATATATTAATGTTAATAAATTATTGTTAAGTTTAAATTGTGTGATTGATTTAGGGTTATTCCGACCCATAACACGAGTAAAGGTCAAAATGTGAAGCCCTTCGCCGGCATACGGTGACGTCTCCATATGAGTGAAAAAATCTAGAGAGGGACGTTAAGCAACATACAATCAATCAATCAAGCATTAAGTCACGGAGCAGCAAATTTTTCGACCTCACAGGCATTATAAAAAAAATGTGTGATTGAGCTTTCATTTTCTCAACATTTTTTCAAGAGTACCTGTACAGTTTTAGTTACCTTATTTACTCAACATCCAAACACGATTTCTTGTCAAGCTTAAAATCTATTAAACAAGGAAAAAATATTCTTTCTTTTGTTTTAAAACCAAAAATGCAGGTATTTACGAGATATAGTATGATATCAGTGACTCTCAATCAAGTTCTTTACAGTCCGGATAAAGTTTTCGTTGATAATCGTCTTCCCGTCCTCCAGTATAGCCTTTTTACAGAGGTCTTACCGTCTAAAATTTCATTTTGCTATTTGTGGACGAATGTCACGAATACTCTAGTTAACTAAATGTTTAATTATGCATATTTTGGATCAATGTTGGCGATATTTCGAGCATCACACGCAATTTTACAAAAGTGTGGTGCGCCATCAATTCAGAGAACGTCAATTTTACAGTCGTTTTCAAGGGAATCGCACCGGAGAAAATTCACCATGTATCTGTTGGTACTTCAAATATCATGTCAGTAATCTAAATACATATTAATAGAACAATTTAAAGAAATATATGAGGAAATTGTCGAAAAATATCGCGAATTATCGAAAAATAATGAGTTAAATATTTGGATTCCGCATGTTTTGGCTTCAAATTTTTTGTCGTGCTCCGTACCTCTTCATCAGTGATATTTACTTACAGATTATTTTCGAAGAATTTTTTTTTAATGCATAGATTTTGCCCAAAAAATTATTGGAATCTTTAAGATACATATTTCTGTGAAATTTCATAACTATATGACGTCTGTAAGAGTAAATAATAACAGAGTCTGCGTAATTTTTGAACGGCCCACGTAGAGCTCTAGATATTAGAAGATTCCAAAAGTAATAATTGTGCTTCATATACACATAGTTTTTCAAAATATTTGTTGGATTATTTTCTAGTTATTGTTTAATAGATTTCTCCAATAATTATAAAAGAGATATTAATAAATGATGGACATATCATAAAAAGTCTTCACATCTTATGCACAGCGGAAGTTGTCATATTTGATTTAAACACACATTCTGATATTTGTAAATTAAATTCTTAGAATTTTTACTTCTGCGCTTATCGTTATGTAGAAATATGTTGATACATTGTGGCTACAACCAAACATGGGGGCATGATTGGAACAATTCTGAATCCGAACTATCTGAGGATGCTTCTATTCATGTATTAATATGATCATTCATGGCTCTGCTGTTTCAGAAAAAATTCAAGAATCTCCTATACATTTCTATGTCAAGCTTTGTGGCTTTGTGGCCCCATCATTCCCATTTTATGATTTGACCAAATTTGAATCTTTATAACCTAAAGATAATTCAACCCAAGTTTTATGATTGCTGGCCCAAGACTTCTTCAGATTTTTTTTTAAATGCCATTAATTTTCACTAATTTTTTCACTTATCCTAAACTATCTCCCAATTAAAGAGGGAGTGACCCTTCAATTGAACTTGACTCTCCTTCACCCAAGGATACTTTGTGCCATGTTTGATCGTACTTGGTTGCGTGGTTTCAGAAAAGAAGATAAAAATGAGAAAACCTGACAACGACCCTTACAACGACGAAAGACATCGGACAAATTTCGATCAAAAACCTCAATTAGCCTTTGCCTTAGGTAAGCTTAAACCTAAATTCACCTGTAAAATTGGGATGTCCTCTTCTTTCCGAAACTACACTTTAAAATACAACATCTGGAAACTGACAAAAAAGAGTAAATGGCATAAATTCTTCATTATACTTTTAAACATGGTATACAGAACAAAAAAAGAAAAGCTGTTATTGAGCTAAAAAAATAAACATGAGTGTTTAACATTGGAGCCCTTTTGTGGCTCCAGCCTATCTTTATAGTCCATGATTGATCTAATATTAATCATAAAAAACTTTCAAGTGATTACATGTAGTATAACTCAATTATTTGATTCTTTGTACTTATATCTATATATATTCATATCTTGATGGACCAATTTTAATAATTATTTGATTATATTGATAATATATCCCCTGTATATTCGGAAAGATATTCAGAAACCTGTGGACAAGCAATTTCTTCATTTACAGTTATACAGCACATCTTTGGAAATCTGTCAAAATAAGATCAGTGCATTTAGTGTATATTTCTGTAAAACAAACTTAGAATTATACTTTCTGTGTTAGATTTAGGTATATGAATGTAATTGTTATAATAATCCTTTAAAAACGATATTTTAGATTCTAAATATATGGCTTTATCTTCACAAATATAAAGAAAAATGTTAACCTGTTTACGATCGTTATTAGCTTCACAATTCTAAAAAAGTTGACATCTCATTCTGTGATAACTGTCAAAATTAACAAAACAAATAAAGAAAAAATAAATGAACACAGTACAGAGTTATGGTTATTAGTATAGTTATTCTTTGTAAAAACATAAAGTTTTCTAGGGTTTTGACTTAAGTAAGGGTCTAAGTATTTTATGACGCATTCGTATGTGTATCCTTGAAATGTTTTAGGTACACATTTCGACTTTGGATTTATCAACGGTAGTCTAATGATATATTTAGAATAGGCACAGAGCGCGTCAAGGACTTTATTTAAATCCGCTGTGGAATAATCACTGATTTATTGATAAACATGTTGGGATTATTCACCAGAATGGAAAATAATTCCCCAACCTTTAATAAATGGATGGAATAAAATTTGCATTGCAAACAAGAACAATAATTTTTATTTTGTTCACCAATATAATAAATCCGCGTTCAGATACTTTAAAGAGATGAGATCATTTTAAGAGTTTCCTTGAGATATGACATGAAGATAAGAACATTATGAAGTATGTTATTACGTACCCACCCCATGTCATCTTAACTTTTGTCGCCCCATCCTACTCCACGGGTCATTATTTGAACAATTTAAAATCTAGTAGACTACTCAAGGATTGATCCATATATAAGTGTAAGGTTTTTCCCTATATATTTCAATGCAAAAATTTGATCCACAATTTTGGCTTTGGCTTATTCCTGGTGTTCAAGGGTTCAAAATTTAAAATCTGCACTTCCGAGCATGCTTCCAAATAACTTTCAGCTTTCCTGATCCAGTGGTTTCTTAAAAGATTTACAAAATATTCCTACATGTATATATTTTAAAGCAAAATTTGATTCATTTAAAAAAAAAATTAATCTTAAAAACCATGGGGTCGTTGATGTTTTCAATGACTTTTTACAGTACTTAAATTGTGTGTTCCGAGACGACCCCTAAATATTTCAAGATGTTAAGTTAGCCTCAGCCAGAAATGGAGAAAATTATTCGTAATTTAGAAACCATGCATGTAGGCATTTTGAAATATGTTAGTCAATGTTGTTTCAAAGAACCATTTTTAAAATCAAAAACAATATTACTGTTGAATTGAATGCTTTCAATACACAGATTCATGAAATATAAAATAAAATGACGTGACCTCTAATTGGGGACTTCCTTGTTTGTTAATTTCCTTGTTCATGTTACTCAGTCTAATCTTTATATGTGAGCAAATTAAAACAACTTCTTTTATTGAATCAAAATGATTTGATTTAAAATACTTACTTACAAAAAGGGTTAAAGTAATTTTAAATCAACAAATTTATATGTACATTGGTATGGTCAATTGTACTAGAATCAAGTTAAATTATCTCCCTTGTTCATTCTACTCTTGTCTACTGTAAACAAGTGAAACACAAATAATGTCGAAGTAATACTTACTTTGTTTGCAGACCTCTCAATACATGTAGCTCTCACTATAATATTGGTTTTCTATATTTTCTATATTGAATCAATAGTATTGTTTTTCTTCTTTCCTTGATCTATTCAACGTCTGACAGTTAGTCCAATTGCATCATCTCGGGCATTTCCGTCAGACCTCGGAAAAAGAACTTCGAATGTACAAGCATCATCGGAATGTATGCATCTTCCTGTTGATTTAGACACATGATACACGAATCTAAAAGTTTTTTTTTTGCTCCAAGTTGATAATATGTTTTAGGTAATAACATTACATTTGATAAAGTTTAACTCTAGTCAGGAAAGGCCTTATAAGTTGCTATTGCGTGTTGGTCTTGACCTTTGAAACAATGAATTTTATTTCGTATTTCGATTCAAATTTTATATAATTGTTTGATTGTGTGCTGTTTGATTTTCCATTGAAAATTTCTTAAATCATATAAAGATGTCGCGGTGGCCGGAAGAGGATTTCAATTTTAGAGTTATACCTGAAATTACGTGAAATAGTAATACTATATAATTAATTTTTTTTATTCAGAATAATTTTTATTATAAGCACGGAATAATAGATGAAACAAGAGACCAACTCTGCCCATTCAGCATGTCTCGTAGAAAGAATCATTGTGTTTGGTGAAGGATATGGATATAACGAACAGTATTCGATTTCAAAGTCCATAAAACAATACAAATAAGAGCAGAGCAAACACGGAACTTTCGTTCATGATCGATGTGGGTTTTTTATTGTGCCAACCCTATTCATGACACGTGACTTTATCGATAACTGTGACTGCTCAATATAACACATAAATTAACTTGGTTAGGTGTGGCATTTAGACATGTTGTATGTAAATCACAACATTGTGCATATGATGCCACATGGCTTCGAAGATGACATAGCAAGATTTTTGCCCCAAGTTGACAGGAAAGCCCTGGACTGTTAAAAATTGCTTAGATAGTCACATACCAGGATATTTGCCCCGTAGTGACAGGAAATCTCTGCAGTATTATGTCAACCGGTGCAGAGGACAGAGGGTGATATAACGTTCAAATAAAGTTTTCTGTCACCGAGGGGCAAATAGTCTGGTATAGTCACCCGAGAAGTCATCTGGTAAATCTAAATGTTACATAACAACATTTAAAATCAAAAAATCTCCTTAATCATTCAAGTTTAGAGACATACCTGTTAAAGGGCGTTAATTTTGCTCCGTTGTTTACCGTTGCTTGAAAACCGACGTGTTTCCCCAACTGGCGAGTCTCAGCCACGCAGGTAGAGTAAGCTGTTTCAATAACCCTAACAAAAACATATTATAATTAACTCTAGTTTACTATAGTTATACAATGTATACTATAGTTTTACACAATGAAAACTTTGGTTAACTACAGTGATCAATTTGAAACTTTGAAAATATTTGACGAAAATTTGGACACTTTGAAAAACTTTATCGAACACTTTGATACTTTGAAATACTTTATTAAACCAGAAGTCTCTGTCGAGACTGTAGCTCTACTGGTTTGTACTTATAACAAAGGATGAGAAAAGAAACCATTGCCCTCAGACCAAAACTGTAGAAGGAGTAGTGTTTAAAAGGAATTTAATTGAAAATTTTATTTTTTAATTAACCATGGCAACACCGTTCATTGAAATCAAAAACCAATGCACTATTTTATGTATCTTAGTGTAGTCTACTTGTGTGCCAAGTTATTAGCTCTTCTGGTCAGAGACCAGAAGAGCTTATGCGATAGTAAGGTGTCCGTCGTCCGTCCGTCTGTCTGTCTGCCTGTCTGTCCGTCTGTCTGTAAACAATTTTTCAAAACGCTACTCCTCCTACAGTTTTGATCTGATTTCAATATAAGTTGGCACACAAGAAGACCACACTTACATAAAAAAAATAGTGCATCGGTTTTTGATTTCGATGAACGGTGTTGCCATTGTTACTAAAAATAGAATTTTCTGTGAAATTCCTTTAAAACGCTACTCCTTCTACAGTTTTGGTCTGATTTCAATGTAACTTGGCACACAAGTAGACCACACTAAGATACATAATATAGTACATTGGTTTTTAGCTCACCTGAGCCGAAGGCTCAAGTGAGCTTTTCTGATCACATTTTGTCCGTCGTCCGTCCGTCTGTCTGTCTGTCTGTCTGTCCGTCTGTCTGTCCGTCTGTAAACTTGTCACATTTTCGACTTCTTCTCAAGAACCACTGGGCCAATTTTAAACAAACTTGGTACAAAACATCCTTATGTGAAGGGGAATTTAAATTGTTAAAATGAAGGGACATACCTCCTCGCAAGGGGAGATAATCAAGAAAAGACAAAAATATGGTTGGGTCAATTGTTCAAATCATGACCCCCGGGGGAAGGGCGGTGCCACAATGGGGAATCAAAGTTTTATATAGAAATATATAGGAAAAATCTTTGAAAATGTTTTTCTTAAGAACCACTGGGCCAAAAAAGCTGAAACTTATGTGGAAGCATCCTGGTATAATGTAGATTCTCAATTGTTCAAATAATGACCCCCGGGGGAAGGGCGGGGCCACAATGGGGAATCAAAGTTTTATATAGTAATATATAGGAAAAATCTTTGAAAATCTTCTTCTCAAGAACCACTGGGCCAGAAAAAGTGAAAATTATGTGGAAGCATCCTGGTGTAGTGTAGACTCAAAATTGTTCAAATCATGACCCCCGGGGGAAGGGCGGGGCCACAATGGGGAATCAGAGTTTTATATGGAAATATATATGAACATTCTTTGAAAATCTTCTTCTCGGGAACCACCTGGGCCAGAAGAACTGAAAATTATGTGGAAGCATCCTGGTGTAGTGTAGATTCAAAATTGTTCAAATAATGACCCCCGGTGGAAGGGCGGGGTCACAATGGGGTATCAAAGTTTTATATAGAAATATATAGGAAAAATCTTTGAAAATCTTCTTCTCAAGAACCACTGGGCCAGAAAAAGTGAAGCTTATGTGGAAACAATCTGGGGTAGGGTAAATTCTAAATTATAGGAATCATGACCCCCGGGGAAAGGGCGGGGCCATTATAGGGAATCAAAGTTTTACATAGAAATATATAGGAAAAAGCTTTGAAAATCTTCTTCTCAGGAACCACTGGGCCAAAAAAGCTGAAACTTATGTGGAAGCATCCTGGTATAATGTAAATTTTAAATTGTTCAAATAATGACCCCCGGGGGAAGGGCGGGGCCACAATGGGGAATCAAAGTTTAATATAGAATTATATAGGAAAATTCTTTGAAAATCTTCTTCTCAAGAACTACTGGGCCAGAAAAAGTGAAGCTTATGTGGAAGCATTCTGGGGTAGTGTAAATTCTAAATTGTAGGAATCATGACCCCCGGGCCTACTGCATGAAAATTCGGCTTTACAAAACAAGTAAAGATAATGTAAATCTATTATTTACAATGCCTTTAATTGACTTTTCTGAAAAAAGTCAAAGTTGGAAAAGGTAACCTTTACATTAACTTTACATGCACTTAAATATGATGTAATGTCCCACATTGTCTTGACTTTACAAAAAAGTAAAGTTAATATTTACAACCATTAAACACCATATTTAGGATATATTAAATCTGATAATTACAGATCTTAAATTTAATTAAATACCATCTTTAATTACCACAAAAGCTAATAATTTCTGTTTTCCATTCTAGTACTAGTGAATAAAGCCTTATGCAATTTATAAATAAGATTTTTCTTCCAAGTCGATACTGCGGAAGTCTGGACATCATATTAATTAATATATACAAAGTAACAAAAAGTTGACTTTAACTTTGTTTATTACTATTTTTTTACAAACATAAGATCAAAAACATCAAGATTCTTGACAGTATATGTTGCCCACATCCTATCCTGTAAATCACATACACATAAATAAGTATCGAAGACAGAGTACATTTCACGAAAATGTTTTTCGTACGTGACATGTTCTATAATAAAACCAACTGTACATTCTTGAATTTAAAGTTGTGAATCAACAGAAAACTACTATGTTCCTCTTTCTTGTGGATATTGGTTTCAGTGGAAATCAATAACTTTCAAAATGTATTTGTCACATCTCCCTTTTCAGAGTCCAAAACTTTTCTTCCCATGCAGGCATTCTTCTAATGCTTTTCCTAAAAGAAAAAAAAATCTATAATTATATTTTCAGTGCTATGCATAAGTATGAATATTTTCAAAGGCATCTGTTATCAGAATTCACAATACCATGATTAATAAAACTAAAAATAATGCACAACCTAATTGATATATAAAAAGTTCATACATGACCTTTAACCTTAAAAATAACAAGAGGCCCATGGGCCACATCGCTCACCTGAGTAACTTGGGTGATGCAGTTCTTTACCAGATTTCACCTTTTACTATACCTATCGTACCCCACTACCCTCTTCCTTTTTATGATTTTAATACTTAAGATTCTAAACTACCCGAAGATGCTTCAACACAAGTTTCAGCTTTTCTGGCCCAGTGGTTTTTGAGAAGAAGATTCTAAAAAGATTTGTTCTATATATTTCTATGTAAAACTTGGGTCGTGTTTTTTTCTTCTGCTGGATTGAGTCGGAAGACCCCTGACGCACTTTTTTCGACTTCGGAAGACCTTCCGATTACCTCTCGTCTCTTCTCGTGTTGACGGTAGGTTTAGTGGGCAGAGACACGTGACAAACATGGCGAGTGGGATAACATACTATGAGTGCGAGACGTGCAAAAAGATATATGCAACCGCTCAACTGTTTTTACAACACCCTTGTGCTACAGGCAGTGAAGGTAAATGAATATTAGCTTCAGAAATTAAAGTAATTACCCCCGAAAATGGAGGCACGATATGTGAGAACAATATGTGACTTATATGTTACCTCTAGTAGTCTAGTAGTACACATGGTACATGCGTATGCAGGGACATATTTGTCTATGGTGTATGTAACCACAGGGGGCTTGCTCCTGGCGTGTAAAAGTTATTTATATACGCCTATAATAAAACAACACATTATTACCGTATATGATTTTTTAAAAATAAATAATTATTACATGCCGGTAGCAAGCCCTTGTAATGTGAGAACAATATGTGAAAAAGAAGACCATTAGGCCCTATATGTACATGTGTATTTAACCACAGGGGCTTGTTCCTGGCGTGTAATAGTTATTTAGTTACAAATCATATACGCTAATAAAACAACACATAATTACCATATATGATTTTTTAAAAATAATTATTACATGCCGGTAGGAAGCCCTTATAATGTGAGAACAATATGTGACGTGCTATATGACGAGATTGTACTAGACCTGATCACAGGTGCTTGAGGACAGGACCCCCCACCCTCGATGTAAACCCACAGGCCTTTTAGACTTTTTTTCATGTAAGTTACATATGGATGACACATTTGTGATATATTAATTTATCCTATCTGTTCAGAAAATTTGCTTAAACTAACATTTTCTCTCTCTATAATATATATATATATGTATAATTATATATATACCGGGTATAAAGTAATGTTTTATATATAGAATGTATATATTATGAATCACTTGTTTTAAGTAATTTTTCGAATTGTTGGTATAGATCTTATCACATTGAAAGATAATTTGTGAGAAAAGGCCCAGGGGTCTATAATGAAGTGGGAGGGGGCTTGTCCTCGAGCACCTGTAGACCTGATTAACATTTTGTGTTTTTTGACAATGCATGAAGAACTTAAGTGAGTGTATTTATAAACTCAAAACCTACAGCTATTGCATGAAATTCCTATCACAATAATAGATTTACAAAGCTGTAAATAAGAGCCCATCACTCTTAAATTTATTCAAACAGTATAACCTATTACGGAATTTAATATCTGCAGACAGAATACATGTATTAAGACTATTTTTTTAACTTAACATATGAAACATTTTATTTAGATAGTTTTTTGGACAAGAAATTGAAGATATATATATCAATATTTCTTTTGTGGCAGGAAAACCACACACTGCATCTAGTTCTACCTGTCCTTCATTGAGTCCAGAATCATGGCCCTGTGTTTTGGCCTGCACAGGCAACAAAGTTATTATTATGTGAAATGAAAAATAGGATGGACGACATTCAGATCGGAAAAATTACTAAAAAGAAGATGTGGACAGAAATATCTGAGTCCTTAATATCAAAAGGTTTCAAGTTTACTGGGGACCAGGTGATGGGAAAATGGAAAACTTTGATCTCGGCATTGAAAAGGACTAAAGACAACAACCGCAAGAGTGGATCGGGCAAGAAGACCTGCCCATTCCAAGAAGAGTTAGAAGAAATTCTTGATGGTAATCCGTCCATTAATCCTATTGCTACTACGAGTACAACTATAGAAAAAAATATTTGTTCAGGAATACTGTCATCAAGTTCAGGAACACCGTCATCAAGTTCAGGAACGGCGTCATCAAGTTTAGGAACACCGTCATCAAGTTCAGGAACATTGTCTGCGCCGTCATCAAGTTCAGGCACACTGTCATCAAGTTCAGGCACACTGTCATCAAGTTCAGGAACACCGTCATCAAGTTCAGGAACACCATCATCAAGCTCAGGAACGCCATCATCAAGAACAAGCAGCAAGAGAAAAGGAGATGAACAAATTACAAAGTGTGATGAAAATAACAATGTAGATCCTACTAGAGCTGACCGAAAAAAAACGCAAAGTGGGTTCTTCAAGTGAGGTAGTAGATTTTTTGAAAGAATATATAGAAAACCAAAGAAAAGAAAAGGAAGAAGCTTAAGAGCCGAACGTGCACGAATGCACAATGAAAAGATCCATTTGTTTGGAGAGTTAATCAAGGAAATGAAAAAGAATTAACTTTAAAGTTTGTCAATGGGAAAAAGCAGTTAACCCTATGAAATAACCTTTTTTTTCCTTCAATTGCCAAGTAGGTAAATTTGAAAAATGCATTTTTTCAAGTAATTAACATATCAATTAATATTTTTGCATAATTTATTTTTGTAAAACATAAAATGTTGGGATCTTTAACACTGTACAGTACATGCACAAATAAATGAAAATAAAACAAAACATATCAATTAATATTTTTGCATAATTATATATGTACAACATAAAATGTTGTGATCTTTATACTACAGTTACTGTACATGCATAAATAAATGAAAATAAAACAAAACTATTTAAGGATTCTTTTTTCAAAGATAATTTTAGTACATAATCTTTTCTTCTGCAAATAGCTGTTATGATTAATTTGCTACAATTGAAATAGAAAATCATGTCACATGTACATACAGAGAAAGAAAGAGATCATTAAAATTTATTATGAAGCATTTTGATGTTTATCAGTCTGGCATTTTTAATCTTTCTAAATAATAATGCATAAGACTACAGATTGAGCAATTGCAACCAGTTGAGAAATATAAATGATGTACAGTTTGTTCTAAATTCAAAAAAGAAGATGCATATTAACATTATAATTGTTCAACAAGAGAGTGTTTAATATTCTGATTAATGTAGGTTTCTTGCTATCCTATCTCGCTTTGCTGAGCCTGTTTCATCAACGGCACCCATAGCAATATCATTATTGATATATTCAAACTGCTCCTCGACAAATTCATCACCATTGTCTCCGTGTTTGATGCAGAAATTGTGTAAAACACAACACGCTATTCCAATATCACACGATGTTTGGAGTTTCTTTGTTTCTAGGTAGTGCAGCCTGCGGAAACGTCCTTTCAGAAGTCCAAAGGCACGTTCAATGACAGCTCTTGTTGAGGCATGAATAAAGTTATAGCGTTTTTGTTCAGCTGTTAGGTGTCCATTGTCTCTATAGGGTGTTAGCAACCAATTCTTGAGAGGGTATGCCCCATCCCCAAGTATGTGATGATCAGCACATATATTCTGGCCTTCATTCCACAAGTCAGAATTTTTCAAGACCCGAGCATCATGTACACTTCCTGGCCACCCTATGAAGCAATTAGAAAAAGAAGTATCATGTAGGCAGACACACTGCAAAACTATACTGTGGTAACTTTTTCTGTTCACATAGGCTTGAGGATGCTCGGCAGGCGGTGTTATTTGTATGTGGGTTCCATCAATGGCTCCGATGACATTTGGGAATCCTCTATTTTCTTGAAATTTGCAAGCAATATTGAACTGAAGTCTATTGTCCATTGGCCATTTTATGTACACATCCTTTAAGCCTAACAAAGAGGCAGCTATTCGGTTTCTGCATGAAATAACTGTGGAGTCTGCAATGCCAAAAATATCTGAGATCAACCTCACACTTCCCTGGTGACCAAAGTATCTTAGAGCAACAAGTACTTTTTTCCAACCCTACTCTTTCCCGACCTCCAAAATGTTCATCATTTAGTTGCATTTCAGGTCTTGATGACAAAACTTCAACCAGTGACTCAAAGCAATTTTGGGTGAAACGAAATATTCTCTTGAAGTCGGTGGCTATGTAGTTGTCCACAACAGTAGTAGCATAGTTCTGTACTCTAACATGATGAGATCTGTACCTATAAATAAATGAAAGAAAAGTATGTAGAATATATTTGATATGAAAATGATGGCATAATTATATTGCACATGTTTGTAAAGAATCCCCAGTTCTCCTTCAATTTTTTTTTTTTGCCCCCAGGACTTGAACCTGGACCTCCTCACTGCAGAAAAATATTCATGCATGAGGCGTGCTGACCAGTTACACTAAGGCAGTATAGCACAACAGTGGAAGTCGAAAAAAAGGACTCATTTTGACATTTCAATTTTTTTTTCAATAAGTCTAACTTCTTATCATATATCTATCATTAAGTGAAAAATCTGGCCTATTTAATGGAAGCACTGCATTGCACAATTAGTTAATATTACCTACCCAACTTGAGATTTTACAGGTCTAGGAAAATCACTATATTTAGCTATGTAGCTAAATCTACCTAGTATACTATATAGATTTATTTACCTATATAATATAGCTTAATTTAGCTATTTCAGAGTAATCTTCTGTTTTATGAAAAAAACAACAACAAAAAGTCAGTTTTGGTCAACAAGAAAATTGACTTGTAATAATTCATGATCAGCACAATGCAAGGCAATCACACTTAATCATGCCTCGATCATCACACTTCCAGCGAGGGACAGCTATCCAAACAATAGAGATGCATTTCTGGGGTAAAAAGTGTTTAAAAGTGGCAATGTTTTTTTTACTATATCTATGGCCTATGTTGTTTTTATCAAACCTTTTAAAAAATATATCAGCCATTATTTACATGCGACTTTTTGTCTGCTTTTCATAAAACAGAAACTTATTCTAAAATAGCTAAATAAAGCTATATTATATAGGTAAATAAAGCTATATATGTAAATTAAGCTAAATAGCTAAATATAATGATTTTCCAGGACCTGTTTTAGGGTCGGGTGTGAAAAAACAAAGATATTTTGTAATGATGGTCTGATCAGTTGATATGAACACATCGAATATGATGATATCACATAGTCTATATCAATTGTTTGGTGGCATATTTCTGCAACTTACATGCAAGATAAATTATGTTAACATGCAAGATAATTATGTAAACATGCAACTTATTTATGTTAACATGCAAGCTATGTTAACATGCAAGATAATTATGTTGAAATGCAACTTATTATCTTGCAAGTTGACATACATATATTTGATGTAAAAATATAACTCACATGTTCACATAAACAGTCAGGGGGGTGAAGGAAATCCATCATTTTTAAAAATGATGATTTCTAGTCATTAAATTGATTTTTGATAATGATGGAAATGATGGAAATTCATCTTTTTTTTAGAAAAATGAAGAAAAACAGTCATTTCTATTTTGAAATTTATTTTAGAAATAGAGTTATACCTCTGATATTAAAAGTATTTCATCATTTTTTTTTCCAAATTATTAGGTCTGAGCGCACTTAATTATCTTGTTAGTTTTACGGGGCGTATTAAATTATTTTGGTTTCAATTACTTGTCAAGATGTTTCTCTACACAAGGGTCTATGGTGGGATAGTGTAATATATCTAATTAACTGTAGTAAATGGGTTGGAAAAATTGACTTGGGAATGGAAATATGATGAAAAGAAGTCATATTTACAAAAATCAGAAGATTGTGTACATTATATATTTAGAAGAAATGACCATTATCCATCATTTTTAAAAATGATGGATTTCAGTCACACCCCTGATTGATAAATTAGTCGCAATTTGACATAAATAAGTAGCATGTTAACATAATTATTTTGCATGTTAATATAATTATCTTGGCTTGCCACCATACAATTGTATAAAATACTAAAAGTGATAATATTATTTATCCTGCAACTACCCCTTGCATTGTCCTAATAAAGGTAACCTAATAAAGCCTCATGCATGTATTTCGACGTTCTAAAAGCATTGTGACATCAATACATTGCAATGTTTATGCCATGGGCATGGCATTTTTATTTCCACGACAGAGATGTACCTAAATCTGTCGAAAATAGCTAGTTTTGGACGTTCAAATCAACAGATGTAAAAAATATTGCAGGATAAACAAAATACATGATAACTGTCTTGAAATAACGATATAAGCACAGGCACCTGAATTTTTTATCAATAAGTCGCTAAATAAGCCAAATATCGAAAAATTCTACCCCCTCTACATATAAATACATATTTATATAGCAAAAAAACTAACGAGATATATATAAATATGTATTTATATATAGAGGGGGTAGAATTTTTCGATATTTGGATTATATTAGCGACTTATTGATAAAAATTCAGGTGCCTGTGATATAAGCGATATTTGGGCTCGGGTCGAAATCGCAAAAGGGCTCGGCAAGCCTCGCCCTCTATCTCACGTTTTCTTACCCAAATATCGCTTGTATTTTAAGACAGTAACCATGTACTTTATTACTTGGCATCTAACCACAACGGAAGCATAATTACTTTTCTACTTTACTCCAATGTTTCTATCATTTCGAGGCCTTAACAACATTACGTACATCAATGCCGCAAGTGAACAAATAGTTACAAATGGGTCATCCTTATTTAACTCGTCAGAATCTTCCAATATATCATCTAACATCAACAATTCTCCTATCTTCATAATCTTGTTCGCCATGATTTCTCTCCGGAAGTGACAATTTTCTGTTTTTTTCGGAATTCTCAAAAAAGATATTCCGGAGAAAAACGGAAGAGAGAAATAAAACACGACCCAAAAAAGAAGTCTTTGGCTCCGTCATGCATTGCGGCAAAATGGCTTCCGATGTAAACAAACGATGGATTATCGTTCGCTTTCTCCACAAATACGACTGAATAATGGCTGTATTTAGTAAATTGTGACTGGATTTCAATTTTTTTTAAATAAATAATTGTACCCATTAAATTATTCAGTGGTTATTGGCTTATTTATCGCTCTGTATTCTTGCATAAAAGTGATTTGGGATATACGTACGACACCGGGATTCAATAAAGTGGGTAAGAATTAATTTTCTTATTTTATTTATTGTCCCGTTGATTTAAATTTGATGCCATTCCTACTATATTTACATCCACTGAATATTTTCTCCTTTATTTCTTAAGAAACCATATTGCGTTCATCACTGCATAAACTACAGTAGGCATATTGCCTGTACAGATTTCTTAATCAGTGGCTGTTCCATCAATGAAACGTATAAAGACGTTCGCATCATTAATATAATAATTAATCTTTTTAATCCTACTTTAAATGATTATTTAAACAGATATAAATATAAACAATAAAATGTCTTTCTTTGTTTGTTGATACTGAAATGAACGGTCGCAGCTATTGCAGAAAAAATTTACATAACCCGCTTACGCGGGTTATGTATTTTTTCTGCAACAGCTGCTTCCGTTCATTCCAGTATCAACAAACAAAGAAAGCATTTTATTGTTTAAATAAAGATGCTTATAATTTAATTTCTAAGACACTTAATTATATATCGTATTTTTTTTAAATGAAAAAAACGCACAACTTTGGCGGCAGAGCAGAGATATTTACAGGTTCGATTTGAGAAGACTTTTTATTATAACCGTAATTTAAAAGAATGGTTTTTTTTAGTTCTTAAACTCATAGATTATAATTCTAAAAATGTTTTCATGATTATATCTATTCATATGTGAAAACATTTGGTATATAGCGATGGTGATAACATCACTAACGCTCTCAATATTCAGATGTCATATAGGATTATATGACGAAATAATATTACAAATAGGTAAAAATTCGGTCAATGTTTAACAGTTACAACATATATATTACATTGTTCAATTTTACACATTTTCCCCTTTTATTATATATTTAATTCCCAAACGTTAATTTTTCTTTGTATTTGATCTAACTTGAATCGAAAACTTTCTTCAAAAAAGCCTCGGAGGAAATGTGGAAACTGAATTGATTCTCATGAAACTGTCACCTGATCGACTCTTATTTATGATTAAAATCATCAATTCAGTACTCTTTTAATTATTGGTAAGATGTATTAACAATGCAGTTGCTCATTGGTGATCTAAACATGCTGAAATTCATTCGTACACGATAGACATGAAAAACAGAGGAAATTCGAACTAAAAATTCGCCAGCGTTCCTTACTTAAAAAATAAACTTATAAAATCAGTAAAAGTAGTTCTAAAATGACTAACTTAGTCACTACAAACAAATTTTCAACCACAGAGATGTTTTCATAAGATTACGACTGTTTATTTTGTATTCTACTTCTACGATGTCTGGCTGAACCTCGAAGTTGGTCAATTTTGACTTGAAATTAAAAATTATTCGCACATGAAATCAAAATTCTAACAAATACGTTCTCTAAAACCATTAATTATTAATCATTTCTGAGTACTTACACTATAGTAAGGTAATCCAATTTTTTGCAAAAGCACTTTTTGTAAGAGCCCACTTTTCACGACTTTTCACTGTGTTTTGATATAACTGCGCATGCGCGGGACTCTTTTTTCGGAGTCTTTTCTAGACTGATATTCTCACTTCCGTTAACGCCGTTTTTGGAGTTCGTCTAGACTGAGTAAACAACAAAGAAAGGGATTTGGGATGTTGTCAGTTGTATGTATACATTATGTGCGACGGTGACTGCGAGGTAATACATGTGTCTTATTTGTCGCGAATAATTCATTTCATTTTATTATGGAAATTTATCCGTCCCGACACTGGCAGAAATATAGTTAATCTGACTTCAAAATTCCTTCCTCTGTTCCCCCAAGTACATGTAACACTCTTCGCTCTCATTATTTTTTTAATTTTCATTGTATATTTTTTGTAGAAAAAAGGAATGTGGAGCTAATGCATGCTGCTAAGGATGGAAATGTCTTGTGTTTATTGGTTGTGCCTGAGACACCAGTCACAGTTGTACCTTATTTCCATTTTAGGTAATGTCTTTTGAGTTATTTTAAGTAGAGGGAACAATGCATTTTTCATTCAATATAAATGTAAAATTTTAGCGATAATTTTTTTTCACCATTGCTGGATACTCACTACATGATTTTATCCAAAGAAAAGTATTTAAATTATTTTCTCACATTTTTTAAAGAGGCCGGGTATGGTAAAGAGATAATTCATTTTTTATTCAAAATTTTATTTTCCATGCATTTGTACAGGGAGTCTATATACATATGAGGTGAGCAGCAGATTTAATTTTGAAGATGGGTGACTTTCAGATGTTGTGATGAAGATTGTTGAAAGGGATTATCAGCATAGAACCAATCCATATAAATGTGCAAGTCAGGTGAGGATTGGACTTCAACGTGTAATCAAGAAATGTTTATGCATAATGATTATGTGCAATGGTGACTGCAAGGTAATACATGTGTCTTATTTGTTGCGAATAATTCGTTTCATTTTATTATGGAAATTTATCCGTCCCAACACTGGCAGAAATAATATGTTGACGGTGCGACCGTTAGAGCGAGCGCAAACTCTTCTACTGTTTTAATTTAGATCGGGCTCGTCAAACCGCACGTGACATTTGGTGCGTCTAGAACTCTGACGTCAGATGACGTCGTATGTAAGTTACAAATACCAAGAAAAACTGAACAGTGCTGAAAGTTAATGAAAAAAGTTACGTTTACAATTTATCTTCAATATGTATCAATTTAATCAAGGCGAGTAAACTTTTTGTTGAACATATGCCGTCATTCTCGTGAGAACGCAACTTTGCTAAGTGATGCATTGTGGGTCAAAATTACTGCAGCAAAAAATTCTAAAGAATGAATGTGCAGTAGTCCGAATTTTCTCTTCACCCAGGCGTTGTCGTTAGAGCTCACAGTTACGAGCGTCGCTTCACGACGCTCGCTGCGCTCGCTATAATTAATCTGACTTCAAAATTCCTTCCTCTGTTCCCCCAAGTACATGTAACACTCTTTGCTCTCATTTTTTTTTTAAAATTTTCATTATATATTTTTTGTAGAAAAAAGGAATGTGGGGCTAATGCATGCTGCTAAGGATGGAAATGTCTTGTGTTTATTGGTTGTGCCTGAGACACCAGTCACAGTTGTACCTTATTTCCATTTTAGGTAATGTCTTTTGAGTTTTTTTAAGTAGAGGGAACAATGCATTTTTCATTCAATATAAATGTAAAATTCTAGAGATAACTTTTTTTCACCATTGCTGGATACTCACTACATGACTTTATCTTAAGAAAAGTATTTAAATTATTTTCTCATATTTTTTAAAGAGGCCGGGTTTGGTGAAAAGATAATTCATTTTTTTATTCAAAATTTTATTTTCCATGCATTTGTACAGGGAGTCTATATACATATGAGGTGAGCGGCAGATTTAATTTTGAAGATGGATGACTTTCAGATGTTGTGATGAAGATTGTTGAAAGGAATTATCAGCATAGAACCAATCCATATGAATGTGCAAGTCAGGTGAGGATTGGGCCTTAAAAAAATTATGTTTGTTTCCTGTAACCGGACCGACCCATTCAAATTATCCCTGGGTGGATTTTTTTTCCCTGACAAATGGCAAAACTTTGTTTGATAAATCAGCTGATTCCATTTATTAAATTATAACAATAGCTTGTAGTTTCATTTGAGATATAAAATATGTCAACCTAGTTTACATTTACCTTAAATATAAAGAGTAATCGTTATTGTAACAACAGTTTCCCCCTACAACTTTCTGAAGTTTGTTTTCTGCTGCTAGACAGCCATTTTGGATGCCATGTTGGGTGTCCACTGTAAATATAACACCTGGTATTTTCAGTCTGGGGATGTTTCACCATCCAAAAGCAAAAAAAAAAAAAAAAAAAAAAACTGACCTACCGACCCTTGATATTTTGGTAATGTTACAGGAAACAAACTTATTTTTTTAAAGCCTCGGACTTCAACATGTAATCAAGAAATGTTTATTTATTGCATAGCTTAGTGAAAGCATGCCACAAGTTTCAAGGATATTACAGATGTATCACTATCATATGTTTGACATTGAGTCGCAATGTCTAAATTTCCATTATGTTTAGTTATTCATATTAAGTAAGTTACTTAAGTATGTCTTCAAAAGCTTGTGCTTTAATTTCAATAGAAGTAATGAAAACCTCTTTAAAAATTGTATTGTTTTTCTTTATAATTTTTAAAATGATTATTATTAGGACTTGTACAACACCTGAGTACCTAGATGACTGTTGAACTAATTGGTGAACAAGAAAAGATGTCAGAGAGGGGAATCCAATACAGATGCCATGATCAAGAATATATACTCTTAACAATGATATGATCAAGAATATGTAAACTTGTACCGGTAATGATTTAAAATATCTTATCTGTAAATTACTCTTCTGTCTTCATTACTTAATTGTTCACACATTATCATCTACACTTATGCTGTAAATCTTATCTGTATATTAATCGCCCTTCTAATCTAACCCCCCTACTAATCGTAATGACCTGTGTATTGACTCCTGATTTTAAGGATCTTGAAATGTGCTCCTGATTGTCAGGAACAGATCTTGAGTATATATATAGTGTGACAGAATTTTAGAATAAGATAGGAAGATGGAAATATAGAAGACTTAGTAGATAGAACTGTTAGAGATAGATAAAATTACTCACTTACTTGGACTATTACCTAATATTTCTTGAATTTATATGTACATGTGATTGTTTTACTTGAATTTATTTTTTGTGAATTATTTTTCCTGAATGTTTCTATTTATGATGTGCTGTGTAAGTAAACTGTAGACTAGAATTTTGGCATCTATTTTCAAGATATGAGGAACAAGGATAAATTAATTTATTCATGCAAACTGACATTATGAAATGTGTTGTAAGACCGCTCGGTGCGGCGCTACAAACTAACTATGAAATATCTTGGAGATTTATAGATGAACATGCAAGCATTCATGATTTTGAATGTTATTCAGCCAGAGAGTTTTTGCACAAATTTAATTTTCAGTACAGTAATTTAAACTGGATGTGTAATTTTCAGTACAGTTATATAAAATGAATATGTTACTCATTATGATTGTCAATTTCTCAACAGGACATAATTGTAGTTTATTTATACGATCACTCTTGCAGAACAAAACACACAGAACTTTTTTTTCTCTGTGTGCATCATACACTTGTAAATGTTTTACAACACCATGTTTACATATTTTACATTGATGGCATGTAAATCGAGCACACACATGAAAATGTGTATATCTGGATACATGCAAACATGCATCTACCATAACCTATTACATATTTTCCAAGGTGTGTGAAGTCGAGCACATACATGAAAATGTGTGAAGCTGGACACATACACAAATACATATGCATCTGCCACAACCTATTACATATTTCCAAGGTGTGTGAAGTCGAGCACATACATGAAAATATGTGAAGCTGGACACATATACAAATACACATGCATCTGCCACAACCTATTACATATTTTCCAAGGCGTGTGAAGTCGAGAACATACATGAAAATGTGTGAAGCTGGACACATATGCAAACACACTAACATATACATACCACAGACATAAAAAGATAATCTAAACTAAGTCAAGCACAGACAGGCACACTGGGTGAAGCTGGATTCATACATGATCTCATGCATTTTGCAAACTGCATCCTCACATATATTCTAATAGATTTTTCACCATTTTTTGTGTTTGTGAATATGTAAAAAGCATCATTTTGCATTACAAGTTGAAGATGTTATTAGCCTGTATGTAAGCGCAAATTAAATAGCCTTTTATGTATTTTTTTCACATTTTAAATTCGATTTAAACTGCAAAGTTTATTTCATATATGTACATGCACCATAAAGAATAAATAATATTGTACCGGTATTTTATTCTAAAGTGAAATGGGACCTCCATTTCATCAGCAGAAATGTGAAATTTATACTTATCATCTGTATTTTTTTTTTTTATTTTGTCTCACATGTATCTGAATGTGTAAAGGAAAAGAAAAGTCAAAGATAACTCAATATAATGTTTATATTCAAGGTTATAACTGGATATTGTTTGTGCTGTATATCTGACTCATCATATGATGAGAAGCCAAAATACAGAATATTTTAGATCATTTTTGCTTGGAAAAAGAAAATTATCAATATGCCATTTTTTCCCATTGTTATATTATTAATTAATATATCATTAATATCAATGTACATATGAAAAATCTATGCCATCCAATTCAGTGAGTTGTAGGCAATCCTGGTGCAGATAATATTTTTTCCCGTGTTTAGTAGTAGACCGGAAACACATTGTATGAGAGGAACGTATATTAATGGTTTTGGCTGTATATGTGGGCGTGGCCAAAGGAAGGCCAATGAGAAATGCGTATTCAGTAAGGTGTTCAAATCATTCTAAGCCAGTGCTCTTCAATACACACACATTTCATTTTGCTTTATATATAATATATATCATATTTGTATAAATATACTGGTAATGGAAATAACAAAACTGTAATAATGTACCTGGTATCTTAATTTGGATTCTTTCATACATGCAAATATTATAGGGTGTTCGTGCATTTTTAACTATTGCACTAAATGCACGTCTGGCATTCTCTCTTGAGACATGATTATTTACATAGCGATGGACACAGGTTTTCCATAGTTAACCATCTATGGTTTTTGCCTTGGCGGTTTTTAATGTTTGTGATAGGGGTATAATTTATTACAGGTAAAATATTTTACAAATGCATTCCAGTGCTTTATTGTTTCACATTCAATGTAATGTATGTTAGATATGTATCAACATAAACACCAGCTGCTCCAACTAAGCTAACCAGGTTTACAGCATAGTTGATGTATTATTTGAGGTGTAGTCTGTCAGATAATGATGAGTCGAGTGTTTGATTCTGTAGATGACCATTTCTAATACTAATTTCAACTGGAAATGGATACAAGATAATAAAAAAAATATCTTTGACATTTGTCTTAAAATTCTTGGTCCCCACTAGATTAGATTCTTTAACTAACTGTGAAAATCCAAAGAATAAGTGTATTAAACAAAAGTCAGCATTTAAATAAGACTTTTATAAAATATGTATATTTAATGAACTTTAATATGTCATTAAGGGAAAAAAAACTACCAGATATCTGGAAGTTATCGCAAATAACACCAGTCTTTAAAAATAAAGGGAGTGCTCAAGAGGTATCTAATTATAGACCAATATCTCTAACAAGTGTCTTGTGTAAATTGATGGAAAAAATACTGTTTAAACATTTATATAACTTTATGAAGGACAATAACATACTATACAAATATCAGTCTGGCTTTCAACCTGGAGATTCAACTGTTAATCAACTGGTAGAAATATATAATACTATCATTTCGAATCTTGATAAAGGTAAAGATGTAAGATTTATTTTTTGTGATATCTCTAAGGCATTTGATAGAGTATGGAATAAAGGCCTTTTAACAAAGCTATCAAATTATGGTATAAATGGCAATGTACTAGGTTGGATTGAGAATTATTTGTCTGATAGACAACAAAAAGTTGTAATAGATGGTTTTACATCAAACTCTGAAACAGTAAATGCTGGAGTTCCTCAGGGTTCTGTCCTAGGACCATTCCTATTCCTTTTATATATTAATGATATTTGTGATGATCTAGTCAACAATATAAGACTTTTTGCTGATGACACTTCTTTATATGCTATTGTAGACAAAGAAAATATTACACAATCACTTACTGATGATCTAGAACATATTGATAAATGGTCAAAGAAATGGCTAGTTGATTTTAATCCTAACAAAACTGTAAATTTAAATTTTAGTAGAAAAAATATTGTATATTCTCCTGTTAAATTTGGTGAATATGGCCCACCTATTATTCAAAATGATTCTCATACCCATTTAGGTTTACGTTTCCAAAGAGATGCTATGTGGACATCACACATACAGATAATACACGAAAAAGCCTCAAAAAGATTAAACATTCTTAGAATGCTCAAATACCAGGTTTCACGTAAAACACTCATTAAAATATATTTTGCTTTTGTTCGACCTGTGTTAGAGTATTCTGATGTAGTGTGGGACAATTGTTCTGAAAAAGATTCTAAACTCTTAGAAGATATACAAGTTGAAGCAGGTAGAATTATAACTGGATTAAGGTGTAACTCTTCTCGTACAAAATTGTATGATGAACTTGGATGGGATCTCCTAAAAACAAGGAGAAAAATTCATAAGTTAATATTATTTTATAAAATTATTAATGGTTATTCTCCACAGTATCTGTATGATCTGATTGAACCTTATCGCCCATCAAGTCATTCGTATAATCTTAGAACTAATAATGCTCAATTCAAAATTCCTAATATTAGAACAACATCTTATATGGAAAGTTTTCTCCCCTCTACAGTCAAACAATGGAATACCTTGCCAGATTATATTAAAAATGCTCCAGGAATATGTTCATTCAAAAGTCTTTTAAAATCTCATTTCTGTAGGAAAAGTATTGAACTTTTTAATTTTGGAATAAGAAAGTATAATATAATACATTGCCAGATAAGGAATAATGCTAGTAATCTGAAAGCAGATTTACATAATCAACATTTAGCTGAAACTCCAATGTGTGAACATTGTACTGATTGTATTGAAAATGCCTATCATTACTTTATTGTCTGTCCAAAATATACAATTCCAAGAGATGTACTCTTTCAATCAACACATAATATTATAAACTGTGATAATATTCCTGAATGTGATTTATTTTTAAATGGTAGTTCTAACCATGGACTTGACATTAATATACAAATATTTGAAGCTGTACATACATTTATAGCAGCAACAAAACGTTTTATATAAACACTGTCATATCTATATATAGATATAATTTAGTACTCCCAAACCGGTACTACTTTGTATTTTGTCTCCCCCTGAAATTTGCCCTTTTTGTTATTTTGTTCATTCTATTTTTCTCTTTTGTTTAATTTCCTATATATGACTTTTTCTGTTGTTTTTTTTCTCTGTTACTTTGTTCAATTTTGTTTGTGTTTTTTTCTCTTCTTTTGTACATTCTTTTATTATCACTATTTGTTTTGTACCTTGACCTAAATGTAGGGAGAGGGCTAAAATAGGCTGCGCCTGCTGCCCAATCCTATTCACAATAACATCTGTGAATAAAATATTGTTTAAATTAAATTAACTTTAATATGGCATTAAAGGTGAAAGGTTATATTTAATTATCTTTTCCTGTAAGTAAAGGTTACCTTTTCACCTTTACTTTTTGTAAAGTTAATACAAAGATGACCTTGCTTTTTGGAGCACCTTTAATGAAATTTACTT